AAGAGATTCTCGAACTAGAAACTCCTCAAGGAGTTAATATGGGATGGAAGCAAGAGGTATACTAATAAGAGCCAATATATGGGAGAGAGTTTGTTGGTCAAAAATAAAATAAAAATAATGATATCTACTACTATCATTTTATTCGGAAAATTTCAGCACATATCATTCCTTTTTACATGCACATACTGTTTTCTGGATGCCTGCAACAACAAAAAGAATGTTGGTAGTGTTGGAAAACAAAAAAAAGTAGACAAATAAGTACTAAAATGAAACAATCATTCTGTCTTAATCTATGTGCAAAATTCAGAAAATCAATCTTTGGAAAACAAAGGGAGTATTTATTTTTCACCAAAAAAATTCAACTATTGACATTTAAAAAAAAAAATTAAGTCCCTAAAGTCTTTAAGACCATATTTACCAATTGGTCTCATAATCAAAAAATTTATCAGTAATGAATCCGAAGGATAGCTGCTATAGACGATAAATGAAGAATCAGAATAGAATTTTGAATTTAAAGACCGTTGCGAAGATTCCATAACTTATCATGAAGTCAAGAAGATGATCCATATTTTTTACACAAAAAATGAAAAAAGTATTTGTTTTGTTGGATAAGTGAAGACTATGAAAGAATCAACTTTCAAGTAAGTTGATCAATAACTTGTTTATGCAAAGGGTTTATTTATATTGGTCTTACGCAGTTCATATGACTCGAGAATGTTAATAGTTTAGAGAACAATAAAACAATTTTCTATTAAAAAGAAATTTATGTGATAAGTTATTGGTCATGTGACTTGTAATTTGTAAAATAATTTGATCATAAACATAAGAAAATTTGATCTCTCCAACTGTACTTGTGTATACGAGACGATATGACTTTGGTTAAACACAAATACTAGACAAACAAATAAAAGATCGGGAAAAAACTCGAAAAAACCGCCATCTATTTTTTTTGGCCGTTTAATACGTGTAGTTTTAAATTTGGAATAAAAATACCTAATTTAATTTCGGTTGTCTTTTAAAACCTTCGTTTTTAAAAAATTGGTAAAATCGTACGCCCGAGTTAACGGCGGGTAACGTTGGTAACGGAATGGCTAACTGTAGTTAAAGCTTAACCCATGATGTTAACGTATTTATATACGATGTTAACATATCAACAAAAAAAACTCTCTTTTAATATAAAGAAGAAAATAATTAAATGACATAGTTAAAAAAGTGATTCCAGTTACAAAATGAAAAAAATATGAATCCCCAAATAAAATGACAAATAATTTATTCTTATTATGTGTATAATTGGTTGAAATCAGCTTTTAAATCAATATTTAAAAGTTTTAGAATAATTAACTAATTACTAAATTGCAAAATATTGTTGTTTTTAAAAACAAAATTTGGAAAAAACTAATCAAACGACGTAGTTTTAATTATTTTCTAGAAAAGACAAAACAAAACATACCATTTTGTTTATGGAATTGTTTTAAAAAGTTCATAGTATATAACATAGGAGCCATATATATATATCTTCAGAACGTTGGAACATCATATATCCAATTTTTATCTAATTAGCCGCTTAAAATACAGTATATCACATAATGATACGATAATTTGTAGTACAAAGCTTGAAACACCATATATATGGATGCATCAAATCTTATTCAAGAACAATAGTAATAGAATTTTTTTTCTTTGCTTTTCCTTTTGTTTGTTTAGTGGAGAAAAAATGTTGTCGTATTAGAATGTTAAAATGCAGTTTTAGTACAAGTGACTTGGAGATTTTTTTTTTTTTTTTGCAGAATCCTTTATTGTTAACATATAAGAAATGATAAAAGAACAAATAAAAAAAAAAGGTAAAAGAACAAATCATTTAGAGATCAAAGGTTTACAGAATTGAAATCATTTTTGCTCCATAAAGTCTGTCGCGTGATGTTCAACCCTTTTACATTTTCTAATACAATTTAGAAAGAAAATACATAAGAAAAATTATGCTCAAAGGAATTGTTGACGATGAAGAGTGTAGGCGCCGATACGGACTTGCAGAGGAATGTTGCTTCCACATCTCACCGACAACGTTGGAAGTATTGCCTCTTTATGTTGTGTTTTTCTGTATACCTTGAAGGATCTTAGTATAAGAGTTTGACAAAATCTGGTTTGTTATCTTAGGATCATGTATAGTTTTTAGTGTTGCTCATATTTTGAGTGTTTTTGTTTTCTTGTCTAAATTTTTTGAAAGTAAAGAAATTTTAAAAGTAAAAGAATAACAGTCTAATCAATATTGATTTGTCCACTTGATGTGTTAGTGTATGGTAGTATATGCACTAGATTTCATTGGATGTAATATGATGCAGATAATCGAAAAGCTTTTGGATCCCGTTTGCTAAGTAGATTAGTCGAGTGTTTTTGGCAAGCAATTTATTGATTCTGTGTGCTTCTGGAAAACTAATCCTCAACTACCATTGTCTTAACAAACACTTAGGTATAGTTCTAAAAGACAATGGAAGAGAACGATTAGGTGAAGGTGGTCATGCATATTATATACATTATGCTAATCAAATCCAACAAATTGATTGGCATTTTAAGTTTGGAGATTCCCTTTCGCAGCTTCTTCCAGAGTTATCCTGATATTGAAAAGAGAAATATATTCTCTGGCTGAAACTGATCCTTGAAAATTTATTATATCACCACATCCTATACTATTATTCGGGAGTACATAATAGAAATAAGTCAATAACCTTACTTTTTGTAAGTTATTACATTAGAATGCCATTAGAAATAAAATTTTAAAGAGTAAATTAATTCATCTCATTATGGATAAAGAAGTCAAATACTAATTCGAATGATTTAATTAATTTAATTAAAATAAAAAGGAAAATACATTTTTTTTTAAAATGACCAATCAAAATGAACATATAAGATTTGATATCTAAATTACCATATTAATTTGTTAGCAATCATTATACTTCACCTCTCATCTTTATATGATTCTATTTTTGTGAAACAAATAAATCATCATATCATCCATACAATATTAAAAAGTAGATTTTTTTCCGCATATACCACGATTTGAATTTTTAAAAACGAATATAAATTGTTCAATCTATGAAACGAGTCAAAAATTCAGATTAGAGTAATATATTTCTTTTATAAAAAAATAAATTCAACAAAAATTCTGACTGAGTAACGGGTCAGAATTTGAATATTTATATTCGATTTTATACATTTATTATTTTGAAATAACATTCTATATACTACAATAAAAATTTTAATATTTTAATTTGGAGCATTTAAAATAGTTTTACTTGATATTTTTAAATAATATCATCAATACTTGAATATTTATAATTTGATATAGTACAATAAAATTTTAAATATTTAATTTGGAACATTTTAAAATATTTAATTGTTTTTAATAATATCATAAATATTTAATAGATTAAAAAGATAAAAATTACAAATACTATAATTTGATATTTTAAAACGGATGTATTAAAATATTTATAGCAGACGCCGGTTAAATATAATGTGTTATATTATATTATAGAAAGAGTTATGATCCTTATAAGAAACGACATATTAAGATTATATGATGAGATATCTTAAAAAAGGTTTGACACCTCTAAATATTTGAAAATTTGATTTCTGCAAGTAATTTTAAAAATAACGAATCATGGATTGTGCACGCAATATTTTCATTGGAATTCTAAAATGAAAATATAGACTCCATCGACGGGTTGAATTTGTTCATATTCAATTATGCAAATAATTGTTAAATTCTGTAATTAACTCAAACAAATCTCTATTTCAACAACCAAAGAATTACAAAATGAAAAAGAAAATTCCTAAATTATTTCAAAATAATAGCTAACTTCCTTAACTAATTCAAAATAATCTATGTTTTAGATGCGATTCATTTATGATATTTTAATTTTTCATCTAACTGAATTATATGCAAGCTCATTTTGTGGTGGTTGTTAACATATATTAACTCATTGTTCAAATAATATTAATTTAAAATAAAAGTTTTCTGTTTTATATCTTAAAAAGTTATTCATAATTGAATATTATATAAAAAAAGGAAAATATATTCATTATAATACTCCCTCTGTTCCAAATTAGAGGATGTTTAAGCCTTTTTTTCTTGTTCCACAATATAAGATTTTTTCAGATTTTTATGCATAATTTATGTTTATTTAGTTTATTTATGACCTTTTGAATTCTGCTGTCATTTTTTCTATTGGTTAAATTTTTATAAATAAATAAACATTTATTACTTCTTAATCTTTGTGTTTTTAACAAAAGCATCTTATAATTTGGAACAGAGGGAGTATTATATATATGGACTGAATTTTTTTTAATATTTTTCCACTTATTATTATAATATATCAAAACTTTATTCTAAAATATATATAACTAGTGGTATACCCGGTGCATGCACCGGGAAAACATTTTTTTTCTAGCTTCATTTAATTGTATTTATTAAAGTTGAATCAATCTTTATTAATTTATTAAAATTCAGTTGATGATATAAATTCACTATATTAAAAATGAACACAATTTTACGTACGAAAATAATGTGATAAGTTTTGTTGTGATAAGTTTAGGCACTCAAATAGTTTGGGCCGGCCCTGACCAATATTAACAACATTTAGAAGTAACCAAAATTTATCTGCTATCATTAAATGGAAAATTTGAGTTTCTAGTTGTATTCATATCTGAGTGGAGTAATTTGCAAGAATTATTGTGTGTAACCACTTACTTACATTGCGCATGTGTTTATGTCTATCGCTTTCTTAACACCGGCTCTTTACAATGTCAATGTTGTGCGTTTTATAGCCTCTTCTTATAGAAATATAGAGTGTAAGAACCTTTTTTTATTGATGATCATAAAGTAGGTAAAACTTCTTAAACTTTGAATAAACTACAAGTCTACAATGTAAAATCTAATAATATTTATAAAAAGACATTGTTAAGCAAAACCAAAATCTCTATAATCCTTTCGCACATAGAAATGATAACTTGCTTTTGCACATATTTCATTAACTCAACATTTTCTCCTCATCACGTAACTTATTCTTAATTATCACTCGATTATCTCTCCCTCGGTTGTAGAAACTCTTCTTGAAGCTTGAAGAGAGAAGTAGTAACTATTATTAACTGAAAGAAACTCTTCTTCCTCTCTTCAAAGATAAGTATTCGTTGTTCTTAATCTTCAAGTTTCATCTTTGTCACGATCCAAGCATAGAATGATAATATTACAATATTTCTCTTTGAAGAGCGATCACATTATATCATGGTAGAATAATTTATCTGCACCTTCTTATTGATTGTTGCTTTGTTGAACCTCCACTATAACAAAAAGAGATGCAAAGGGGGACATTTAATAGAGGATAAGTTAAGATAGTGAAATACAAAAGACATAAATTGATCCGAAGAGCAATAGATATAGTACCATTGAAAGATCTTTGTCTTCACCATGTCAACCTTTAATGATTTCGCTGGAACCACCTACCCATTGTGCGCCATATCTAACCATAATCCATATGCCTTGTGGCTCCTGATGAAATTAATCCATTAGAAAAGGTTGAGAATGAAAAAAATCACTCAAATGAATAGAACCGAATCCCACCTTTTTACTTGGAGATTCATGAGAATTGACTGAGAAATAAAAGCCCTAAAGGATTTGGAAATCCATATATCTGTTTTGATCATATTTAAGAACTATAGGATTGTTGTGTATCTCTCGAGAGTTCTATAGTTGAGAAAATAACGTGTTTTTGAGATAGAGGAGAAGTGGGGATCGTGGATTGAAGAGAAAAACTGTTTTTTTTAAAAAAAATTGTGTAAATGGGAATCGTGGATTCTTCAAAAGTTTTTTTTTTTTTTTTAATATAAAACAAAATCTATGTGGCAAAATTTTATTGGTCAAGTGACTTGTGATTTATAATATAAAAGATGTATAATTTTTTTACTAAATGAAATTCACTACGTATTGTAGTACGGGTTATGATTTAGTTTACGATTAAGAGAATATGTGTTTCCCAAAGCACAAATCCATGAAACGCACATTAATAATTACTATAGAAACATGAACTTTATACGTAGGTAGGGAAAACAATACACCAGGTTCTAATTAACAAGAATATCAGCTCATCTTTGTAATGTACATTTCTAATTGCTAATAACAATTAAGATCGCAAGTATCTCTTCAAACCAAGAATGTTCACACGAGAATCGAAACCAAATAATTCCAGCTTGGATTCCTTCTGATGGCCATCGAACTCCATCTTCTGGTCTTCTCCCTTAGCGGCCACCTCTCTTGGTGCCACTACTTTTATAAGTTTTACGGTCTTGTCAAAAACCTACAAATGTGAGACACTCATGATGAAAACTTGAAAAGGTACAAAAGACTGAAACATTCAATAATCTTTGCCACGGTAAAGTTTGGAATATTCTTGCGCCCATGATTCTTTAAACTAGATGTTGATTCTCTTACGGGCGGTAAGAAAGCAACAAAAAAGTAAATGATCTTGTAGACGCAGGCAATCCATTCACCAATGTGACCAAGTTCAGCCACAACTGGTGATTGAAGCAAATGTAAATGAAAAAAAAGAAGGAAAAAAAAAAAAAGATTAGGAGAACTTGATAGAAAAAGCCTGAGCTCTAACACCAAATGTAACACCCGTCCCACAATATCTATCTTTATATCTTTATAATGCCAATCTAATTGACAAACCTATTACATTTTAAGCATGCAGATTCTTCTTCGAGGCTTCTTTCCAAGGTTATTCTGATATTGAGAAGGGAATATATTCTCTGGCTGAAACTGATCCTTGAACTCTCTGGCTCACTGAAGATAGTCCAAGCTACATTTTAAGTAAAGAGAAGGAGAATCTAGGAACCTTGGGCATGATTATGATATGTGGGTGTTTGGTTTCGGGTGCATCACGCAAGAAAATAACTAATTGTTAAAGCTCGATGTCAGCAATCTGCATTCCGAGGAAAGGGATTTTGTTTTCACATGTATGTTTTGTTGCAAGAATCACCCCTATCACCAAAAAATTCCGGGGAAAGAACTCCTATCTACGCCCTGAAGAAGATATGAATTGAGCCGAGCAAAAACACAAGACTTCTCAATCTCTATACTAGTAAAAGAGAAGTACAAATGAAAATGGGTCGGGTAAAAAAAAAAAATTGATCTGAAATTATGAAATCGGATCTTTTAAGATTTCTTAGAAAAATAACCTAAATCTACATATACATTTTTACAGGGGATTTTTGCAAAAAGTCTTTTGGATCCGGGTTTTATCCGGGATTAACTCTATCCGGATCTTGGATAAGGAATTTTAGGAATGTTGTCTTAAAACCACATTAATTCTTAATTAACACCTAAATTGGAAATATATATAATATATCTAAACTAACCATATTTGTTATTTACCTTAACTACTTCTAACCATAATTATTTAACTATTTATTTCTATATAGAAAGAATATGTGATTAAAATAAATATTTTGTAAAATATTTATTTGGGAAAAAATTGTTCATACGAAAATAATTTATTTTGTTATAAAAATTAATATTTGTTATTTGTAATTAAATTACATAAATAATAATAATAATTTGTCTACACCATCAAATGAAAATAGTTAGTTATTTAATTTTTTATTTAATATTACGTAATTTTTAAATAATAAATTTTTAAATAATGTCAATGGGTTTAATTCTAAAGATTTGAAAATATTAAAAAAGATACTAACCAAAAATTATATATCTTAATTTGTTTCTAACAATTTGGACACAAATCTTTCAAATCTTTCGAAAATTTAATGTGATCACATTTTTTACTAAAATCTCGATTATATTCCTAAAAATCTCGAGAAGATCTTCATTTAAATCTGTTATAATTTATGAATTAAATAAACTAACAATACGAATATTCCTAATATATTCGAGTACCATAACAAAATTAATTCTTTAATTATACATATATATTCGAAATTATCTTAAATGCTTATCATTCCAAAAATTAAATTGATTTCGAATATTTTCACAATCTAAATTAATTACTATAACATACTTTATCTCAACTATTGTTCCTAAAATATTGCTTAAATCTCGATTTTAAAGAAACTAATTACTCTATATATATTTCGAAATAATTAAATTTGGATCCTTTCTTTATTTGAACGGTTTATCAAAATTATATTCCTATAATAGATTGTAAAACATTAATGCACTATTACGAGAATATGAATTTAAAGGAAAATCTTTGATATTAATACTCCTAATAAATAGCCTATTTTAATTGCAAAAATCTTTCATATTAATGCTCTGAATAAATATGCAGATTTTAACCGTATATAATAATTGCAATTCACATTTCTTGCCTAAATAAAATGAACTATATTAATTCCGTATTCAATCCACCTAAAAGATTTAGGAAATTTTCTCATGATAAACGATATTTAAAGATATTATCCTAAAATGGTTAGGAATATATGTAGCATATTCTAGATTTGTGATAATTTAAAGATTTTCGAATATATCAACGCCTTGCTAATCAAGATTTTGGATATTCTCTAACACAAAACCCTACTAACCTATCATAACTCTATAAATACTTGATTGTTTCTACTACTTCTGAACACACAAAACATCAGTTGCATTCTTTAACTTTCCAATTTCTAATCTTAATGTGTTGTTTGATTTAATTTCTTGAAATTGGATTCGATTAAACTTTGAATTTTTGTTTATAGGTTTAGAAATAAATCTATTTTGAATTTTCTACGTCAATCATTTTATGAAATTTGAGGAAAAAGATACAATTCTTTTTTTATATTCATCAATTCTTTTGTTCATATACATCGCTAGAGTCTTTGGATATTATTAACTTTTTTTTTGTTCGTGTGCAGATTCTTTGTGGTCGATCATGTTGGTGATGAGTTACGACTACTCTCAATGCTAGATGCTTTGGTAACAAGTTAATTTCTATATAATATGGATTTTCCACTTACAGATTTGGAATGTCAGATTTTGTGAGTTGAAAAACTATTTATGTTTCAAAGTGTATATCTAAGCTATACAAAAGAAGTATATTTGACATCTTTTTCTCTTTTTATATTTGTGACTGTAGCCATTAAGAGTATAAAATATCTGCAAAAGATGAAGACCAACATAGAGACACCAATTTGTATCAAAAACAGGCATTTACTCATTTGACTAACTCTGGTTGTGTTATACGTACGTTTATTATTCTTTCAATTTGCTAACGACCTTATATGTGACTATTTAGTAGAGCTGCTGATTTGTATAGGCAGATTCTTCAGCTAAAGCCGTTGCTGGAGTACTTTATTAAAATTTCTGACTCAAAAAATTTATATGTTTTGTTTTATATACGTTTATTATATTTTCACTTTCACTTTGGCTAATGATCTTATGTTTGACTATTTAGTAGAGCTTAGCCTAAGGTGCATTAAGTGAATGCACCATTTTACTAAAAGCAATAGACACAGTGAACAAGGTATCATCCATCTGTTTTCATATATTATACTTGATTTGACAAAATTCATGTTTGCTTTTTTATTGTATTCAAACCAATAATAATCATATTGAGCTTACATTTCTTGGGTGTGAAAGTAGCTTGATTACATAAAAACTCCAAAATCAGAAACGTATAAGAACGGTTGAAGAAGACGAGAAGGTTCTCAAAAGAGATTTTTATTTTATTTTATAATGCAACATTTTATGTTTTTTCATAGATATTTCAATTAAAAGTCCAAAGGGTAAAATACAGAAAAGACAAGTGAAGCCTAATTAAGGCCCAATACATAATTACACGTCTTTAACATAAATTAGTTTTCTTTTTACGAGTTTTTTTTTTTTTTTTTTTTTCTGTTTTCTTAGGTAAAGCATGAGACATTATTTGACTATTTTTTATACAATTAGAGTAATTTAATTTGTCTTTCGAAATTTTGTCTTTTTGGTTTATTTTAACACATTTATAACACACATATATAACACTATATAGCATTATCAAACAATTATATAATAAAGAAAACTTTATTATATTCAGATTAAATAATAAATTATATAAGTAATGAGTATAAATTTTATCCCACTAATAAAACTTACTTAGTTTTAAACTTTGGGATAGTAATTTAATAACATGTATCTTATTCGTATAAATATTTAGTCATATAAAAGCCAAATAATACTTTAGGAAATGTTTTAATAAAATTATTATTAAAAAGAAAATTACAAAATGATGTTTAATTTCACGGGATGAGATTATATGGTGGGAGGGATTTGGATCAATATTAATACGGGATTGTATACTACGGATAAAATCCTAGAATTAATAATCAAACTATAATTATACAATCTTAAACACTAAACAAAACAAATATAACTTAAAATTTTGATTTTTAGTTATAAAATATCGTTATGCGGTATACTATATATCTATAGATTATCTTAAAAATTTTAATTTTTTTATTTAGTAAAAATATAGGCCCGCGGTGTACCGCGGGTTAACATCTAGTCTACTAAACATTTTTGAAGTACATTTTTGCTCTTCTAATCGGGTCGGGTTTTTTTTTTCTGATTTAGACCCAAAAATCTTCAATCGGATCTTTCCTTAAATTGTGGCAAATTTTAAAAACAAAATTGATTAATAAAATCTAATATATATATATATATATATATATATATTATAGATATATTTTCTCAATTAATTTCTATATCTAAACTCTTTATTTATGGTATATTTTTTACAATTTTTATAGATAAGGAAATCAAATATGATGATTTAATGCTAATATAACAAATTTGAGCTAATTTACTAAAACTTCTCTACCTAATTTAAAAATAAATATATGATTCTTATTTCACTTTTATTTGATCTTATATTTATATTATTTTGAATTATTATAAAATATATATAGTTCATAAATTTTTTTTTTTCAACATATATTATAATTCAAATTTTTTAAAACAGACATATACTCCCTCCGTTTCATAAAGAGTGTCGTTTTAAAGTTTTATTTTTGTTTCACAAAAAGTGTCGTTTTAGGTTTTCAATGCAAAATTTAATGATTTTTTTTATGTTTTATGACTATTAGTATTCTGCATATTGTTTTACTATTGGGCAGATTATGTTTAGGTATATAGTTAATGATGTTTTTGTTTAGAAAAAACAAAAAAATTAATGTTTTCTTAATCTGTGTGCAAAACTCTAAAATGACACTCTTTGTGAAACATATGGAGTATTACTCAATCGATGAAGAAAAATATATGTGTGTAATCTATATTAATATTTTTGAAGAACAAATTGCGAGTTTAATCAAGTCGTTTTTTTTTATTCTGACCCGAAATTAAGTTATTCGGATCTTTTCTTAATTTATACAATTATTTAGGGTGAAATCCTAAAATTAACAAATCAAAATACAATTATTTAGTATTTTAAGATACAATAATAAATTATTTTAAAAGATTAGTCCAAAAACACACACTAATTTAAAAAAACTATATATTATAGAAACTATTTGAAAGCAAACTTTTAAATTGACTCGAACTATATGTCTTTTAAATAAAAGTGTTATTTCAAAAAATAACAAAATAATATTTAATTTTACAGTTAATGATTATATGGTAGGATGGGTTGTGATTGATATTAATATGAGACAATATGGACATTACATTAATTAACATGCAATATCGGATTCACGGATCTCTTTGTCGGTTTCCTTTTCTATACCACAAAATGGAACCAATGCTTTTTGCGACAAGCGGTAGGAGCAACTATGTAAGAAAGCCTAAACCGATTTGAGAACCGAGGCGAGGAAATTCATTTTGTTATCCATACAATATCCCACGAGAGGTTACGCATAAGTTGTTATACGGGAAGTCGGAACGGAAACCAACAAAGGACAACACAAACAGTCTATCGGCAGGAGCAGAGCGACTACGCAAACCGCTTGAGAGGCCAGTATACTTCCTTAGCCATCCTCTTATAGGTTTTGAGCACCCCTTAAAATGATTTCCTGCATTAAGAAAGAGACGTTAAGGTTTCGGTTAGAAGGAATTATTGAGAGGTGAGACCCACAGGCACATGTAATTCAGATCTGGAAGTCCAATCCTCTAGAGAAGGTTCTTTAACAATACAGTTTCAGAAAAAAACAGAGATCACTTCCAATTTATGTGAACCATAAATCCAACTTGCCACATACCAAGAAAACAAAGGACAAAACTAGATATATAATACCTAGTAAGATTGAGCAGTTTCGAGATTGCCAGGTGAGCCTTGTGATCCTGTTAGAGGAGTATCTACATTAAAGCATTGTTGTCTTGATGATTGTATATTAACAAGTAAAAAGTGTAGTGACTAGGAACATAATAAGTAGAGAAAAGGTACCTTTCGAAACAAAGAAATATGCCAAATGTTGGGAACATCATAGAGAGTGAATATATATAGTCAAGCTGAATCAAGAACCGTAAGCTGGTAAAATCAACGGGGTTTCGATAGAGTAGATAACATAACAACAAGGGACAAAAGGCAGCATCTTAGCGGGAAATGCAAGATTAAGCTAGCTTTTCCTTCACATTCTCTTCAAGTGCCAAATGAAGAAAAAGGTTGAGACTTGTGTATAAGAAGAAGAAGATCATACACCAAGAGACTGTAATTTCTAGGTGTCAACATGGAAATGCAAGCAAAAACGAACCTGTGAGCTCTGACAAGCTAAGATATCCGGTGTCAGATGATGCCTGAAAGAACATAACAAAGCAAATGAAGCTGATATATATATAGAATCAGATGATGTCACTTCATAGCTGCTTAAATTCAAGATTGCTTTATATATACCAGTTCACCAACAACATTAAGCACACAGCTTGATTTCATTATATCCGAAATTTCCACACAATTTTGTTTTCCTTCTCTTGCATTTAATTGGTATGAGGAAGTGATGCTCACCTAGACGGTAAGAGAATTGGTTAAGCGCCTGGATAAAAGGAAATTAGGAAGAAGCGAACATACGTAATCTTGTAAATTCCATAAGAAGCTAGAGGAGAATTGCAAATTTATGCATATCATATCCAAAGCTCCATACTTTGGAAATTGAATTCGCAGAAAACTGGGAGATTCAGAGAAAGAGATCCCAAACTTATTAACCAGGACGAGAAAATTCACTCGGCCCCTTGTATTATAATAAAAAAAATTAATAAGGGAAGTTCACCTCAAACTCAAACAAACGGCTTGAAGAGTCAGCCGACAAATAGGTAGGCCCGCCGATCTTTGAAGGTAATTTGAATCGAAATTGATATGTCATGAAAGATTGATTCCATAGGTGTGGATCAATTGTTTTCCTTGAAGACCCACCCCAGACCTGCAATTCTGGTATCTGCATCGGTGTTCCACATCATGTGGTACGAATTGTTGAGGATTCATTCAAGTTTTTAGGTTTCTTCTATAAAAAAAAAAAAAGGAAAGTCCTTGCATAAAGAAAAAGGAAACTCTCCTTTGTGAGTATATAGAATAAACCTAGATCCTTTCCTTTGTGCCTCTTCGCGATTCGAATTCAGAGTTTCCTCGGGAGCCGCCATGAAACGCAGGGACGATAAGAAGGGCAGGTTGTGCAGCATCTCAATCCCAAGTAAGTTAGATCCGATACCTTTTGTTCTGAAGATGGTTTTAGCGACTGCCAAGTTTCTGAACAAGACCCCCCAAAAGAAACATCTTTGCCGCGAGGAGAGAGATATTAACAAGTACGATGAGAAAGACACAAGCCCAAGTAAGGTAGATTCGATCCCTCTTGATTTGGAGGTTGAGATACTGACTAGATTGCCGGCAAAGTCTCTTATCAAGTTCCAATGTGTGTCCAAGACGTGGTCTTCCATCATCCGAAGCCAAAGATTCATCGATTCCTACTACGCTCTGTCCTCCACTATGCGATCGGATCGGTTTATAATCGCTTTCAGTAATGGTGAATCAGCCAAGAGGGAGGACAAGCGTTTGTTCATCTTCTCGTCTTCATACGAGGGACATGAATCTTCTTCTTCTTTGGTAACCAATCTCGATATGACAATACCTTCCGTGACCGTCATTTGCTTCTCCACCTGTGCTTCTGTCCATGGCTTAATCGGGTCTACTAGGAGTGGTCCGTTCCTTGTCTGTAACCCTTGCACAGGGAAAGTCACTATGTTACCCTGTAGCGGAGCACACACATCCTTCGGATACGATCCTGTTGATGGTCAATTCAAAGCATTGACCCAGGTGTCCCCTTATTCTTACCAGGAACCTGATTTTCTAGTGCACGAGGTTTTAACACTTGGAGGAGGAGAATCTTCATGGATAGTCAAAAAGGTTACCACCCCGGTTTACTATACTGCAACCAGAAAACTATGCATCAATGGTTTCGTGTATTTTGGTGCGTGGACCCCAAGAAGTAGAATTGATCCGGTGATTGTGTGTTTTGATGTTAGATATGAGAGGCTAAGTTTTATCAAAGCGCCTATGGATGTTGTTTGCTTGGAGGGTGATTCAATTTTGATAGAATACAAAGGGAAGTTTGCTTCCATTGTAAGACACCCTTATGCTGATTTCCATAGTTTTGATTTATGGATACTAGAGGATGTGAAGACACATGATTGGTCCAAGCAAACATTTCAGCTTCCCTTCTCTTTGGGGTTGGGTACAAAAATGACTTCCCCGGGAATCAACAAAGCTGGTGAAATCATTTTTGCCCCAAAAACTCTGTCGCGAGATGTTCAACCCTTCTACATTTTCTACTACAATGTAGAAAGAAAAGACATGAGAAAAGTTATGCTCAAAGGAATTGCAGACGATGAACAGTTTAGGCGTCGATATGGACTTGCTGGGAACTGTTACGTCCACATCTCACCCGAACATGTTGAAAGTATTGCCTCTTTATAATGTGTTTTATGTATGTCTTGAAGGATCCTAATGTAAGAGCTTGACCAACTTTGCTTTTTCCCTGTTCTTTTAATTAATATTTAAGCGTTGGCTTTTTAGCACTAAGCAAACTAGGTTATGTTAGGACTGATGGTTTGCATTTGCTGACGTGTGTATTTTTAGTGATACTCATATCTTCAGTGTTTTTGTTTTCTTTTCTATATTTTTAGAAAGTTAAAAAATTTCAAAAGCAAAGGAATTCCATACCATACTTTTGGCTTCCCAAAGTGATTATAGTTCAGAGAATATTTAACTGCGTACTTGCTGTGTGTTAGTAGTGTATGCATAAGATTTCATTAAACTGTATTTTGTGGATGTCGTTTGCTGCTATGTAGATTACGCGTTTGTGGAATTTTTTGGCAAACAATGGTAATGATTCTTAACAAACAATAGGTATACATTATAAAAGACAATGGAGAGAAGCGGTGAAAAGACCGATTAGGTGAAGGTGGTCTTGCATATGACATTATGCTAAACTAATCCAACAAAGTGATTGTATATTAAGCTTGCAGATTCCCCTTCACAACTTCTTTCCAAGGTTATTCTGATACTGAGAAGATATAGATCTCTGGCTGAAGCTGATCCTTGAACTTTCTAGGCATCTCGCTCTTCATCACTTCCTCTCCTCTCTAATAGGGACACACTGTACAATGCATTAACTGTTACCCTTAGACAGCTCGTCGTCCTTTCGACTATAAATTCTTGATCTTAAGGAAGAGGTTTGTCCGAAAGATCTCTGTTTCTCCATTGATTGGCTCTGTTTTCTTGTTGATGTTGTCTAACTTGTGTCTCTGCAGCTTTCAATACCTGAGTTCCAAATGGAGAACTTGTCTTACTACCATTTCTCCTATCTCTCTGGTTGAGTCAATGATGTTTGCTTACGACAACCATATATCCTTATATGAATACCCATTCGAGGACAGAGAAGTGTATCGCTTGGACGATGTTGGTGAGGTAAAATAAATAAGACTTCTTAACTCCTATGTTAATCTAAAATGACTTCAACTTTAAATCTTAAGATAAGAACTTTTGAATGATTTTCATGTTCTGACCTTCTTCTTCTTTAATTTTTTTTGTCTTTGTCACAGCATGTTACTGCTAAAGAGAGGAAAGAAGAACTTTGGGGAAGACTGTGCAGGTTATAAACAAGTTTTCCACGTTTCTCTTTCTCATTTGTGTTCTGGTGCTGGTTTCTTTCAACTCTCTTAAGCTTTTTGGTTGTAATGATTTAGGTTGTTCCTCATGTCACTATTGCAATTCAAGAGTGGATCCAGAGAGTTGCGGTTAGTCCTGTTGACGGTGAGGAGGGTCCTGCTGATATTTGCATTACCGAATTAGGGTAAACTACAGGTTACAAAAAGATAAACAAGATTGGATTATTATTTATGTTTCCGTTCTTGCTTCTCCTGTTTAAAGTTTAAACAGAGATTCTTACAATTGTAGAATTGTAGGTTATATTGAATCCGCCTCTTTTATCGATTCTCTTGGCCAGTTCTCTTTCGGTGTAGATAAGAATAATTTCCTCGTGCCTGTGCTTAATGTTGTTAGTGAGTATAAAGTTCCCTGAACGAAGCAGCCATGGTGTGACAGTATTTTGTTCTATAGGTAACAGTCTCTTGGTGTGGTATCTTCTTGTTTCGATGTAAAAGTCAGCTCTTCGTCCTCTACAAACTCTTGATTTTAATTGAGGAAGAGGTTTTTCCAAAAGATCTCTGTTTCTCTACTATGTCTCATTGTCATTCATTGTTTGGTTCTGTTTATTTGTTAATTTTGTTCTTTTTGGCCTTACTTGTGTGTTTTCTGAAGCTTTCTCGTTTTATATGTAATATTCTGATTTTGATGTTTACTTCAAATGTTGTTGTTGTTGATCCCCTGAATTCAATTATGGTTACACTAGTACATCTTTGGATCTTAGATCATCGTTTCTTATCTTTTGGGTTTTCTCAGTTCCATTGGCTCATATGAAAGAAGAAACTTAGCATCCTGAACTTGCTTCGCCTTTTGTTTTTGGGGACTGATTCCAATCCATATGGAAAAACCTCGCTGTTGCTCCATCAGAATCTGGGATCAAAGAGGTTAGTTTTCGATGTTTAATTCGTATTTGAAGGATGATTGATACGATTACTTACATACAAATAACGTTTTAACGTTATATCATCTGACTTATTCAATAGTCTTGTTACTTTAGATTAGCTCTGTCTATGGTTTGGTTTTAGTCATCGTAGAGATTTGTATAGAGTATATTTACTTTGGGATCTCGTTGACTGCAAATAATTATAAATCATAGATCCATTGTCTCTTTTATTTGTTGATGCTGAATTCCATATTGGTTTCGTGCTCATAAATTTTGTTGTTTATTTGAAATCATTGGGCATAATCAAACACAAATCATTTATGCTTTTTGTTTTCTCCTGATATCTTAATTTTTGATGATTACAATTTCATTTCTGCTTTGTCCCCAAGAGTTGATTGCCTATTCTTGTACTTTAGTGTTACTTTTTGGCTATAACGGCATCTTATTCAGATATTAGAGACCTTGTAATTCATGTAGCTATATCTTCTGATATCAATTACAATTTGATCTGTATCATTATCTAAAGAAGAATGGAATACTTCGTACGTTGTCTAGGACTTATTAGGCTTGATGTAATTGATGTATGCTTGGTTATATAGATTCGTGAACTGTGTGATTGTTTTGTTCTTATCCAAAGTCTCTCCAAATCAGTTTTCATTAATTTTTATAAAAAGTTTGTGAAGTTTGAATAACAGTGGATTTGATATGGTTTTACAAAATATTCGACACATTTGTCTATTTGAAGATTTTATTTTCTAATCTTAAGGGAAGCTGCATCCCATGCAGCATCACTGAAGCAACATAGCAAGTGAGATGGCGTAAACAGAACAGAATCTGGGTCGGGGATGATACAAATTTTTGAACAGAGGTATGAGCAGAGGAATCTCCCGGGTGATTAGCTATTGGGATGTCTGAGTGTTACATTTCGATAGGATTTGGTTGTTGGTTTTGTGCTTTTTACCAACATTTTTCTTTTGCATCACTTTTGAGACGGAATGTCTTAATCAGTCATATCAAACATTGAGATTTTTGATAAACTTTTGGTTTAGTATACACATTTATTTTTTCCATAACACTAGTAATAAAATATAGTAATTCAATCAATCATCATTATTTACTACTTTATATGGCTCCCTACTTTATACTAGATTCTTAATAAATCAATTTTTCACCAAACTAGATTTAAAATGTTTCATCATTGTTGAAGATTTAAAATTTAATCACCAAATAAAGAACTGTTTGAAATAATTGATAAAAACAAATTCAATAATAATATCTTGGATTATAGTAATTACTATAATATTAGAAAAACACTCCCTTTGTTTCATTTTATATGTTGTGTTTTTACACATAAATTAAAAATATTTAATTTTCTGTTTTTTTTTTTCTTCTATTTTAAAATATGTTTAGTTATTTATTTTTAAAAAAATCAACCAGTTAAAAAACAAAGTGGAAAATTTCGATAATAAATTTTACATTGAAAAATAATATTATATAAAAAAAAAAAAACTAATGTCTCTCTCTCGAGGCGATTCTTTTGGCGATAAACGCCTGTTCATCATTTTTTCCATTTTTCTCCGCCGGAGTCTTTTTCCGACCATCGTTGATCTCGGGTTTCGATTTGTGATCTTCAATGGCGGTTTTTGTCTGTCAAAAGTCAATGACAGTTGCTTGTCTCCCTCTTTTACGGGAAGTAACCGTCAACCAAAACCGCCATGGCTCTTCCTTTATAACCTCTTCGATCCTTCCTCCTCATTCCTAACATCTTTATCACTTCACTTTCACAATTACTTCACGAAAACCATGAGCGATTTCCTGAGAAAATCAGTCCAAGACCTTGATTTGGGCATTGATGATGTCCCAATCTCGCTTTGCCCAGAATTCGTCTCGCGTGCAGCCGCCGTGAACCGGTTCTCTCTGATTGTTACTACAGTTAATCCGAGAAAGCAAAACCTGAGAGCATTAATTGGCCAGATGCCCAGGGTATGGGGTTTTGCGGATTCATGTGTGGGTCGTATCGTTGGCCAGGGAAGGGTTCAATTCAAGTTTCAATCTGAAGAATCGATGAATCTGGTTCTTCGTCGTGGTCCGTGGTCGTTCAATGATTGGATGCTTTCCATTCATCGCTGGTACCCAAACATCAGTGAGAATGAGATGAAGATAACGGAGGTTGACTTTGATGAAAATGCAAATCAAGTGGGTTATGCGAGAGTCAAACTGGCCTGGAACTTTGATGATCCTCTCCGGTTCCTATTAGAGTATGTATATAGACCGGTTTACTAATCTTGGTTGAGTTAAATAGATTACGGTTTATTGTATATATTGGTTTACTCTTAGATGTATATAAGCTTACATTTGTAACAACTTTACACAAGAGAAATATAGAAAAGCATTCACAGATTCTCTTTGCTCATGATTTCTATCATGGTATCAGAGCATTTTTTGCGTTTTTTCCGTTGATTTCACCGATTATCTTCAGATTCTTCTTCAATTTCTTTGTCTCTTCGTCTCTATCATCTTCGATTGTTCTTCCGCGCACTTGATTTTGACGAAAATGGTAAAGAAGGGAGGAAAACTGAGAAATCAAAGTACTACACCTGACGATGGTGGTTCTGTTGTTAGATCTACTCGTAACTCAGTGATTCTTGAAGATCCGAAGCTTGCGATGCCGAAACAACAGCTCACACAACGATTTGAAGTTTTTGAGGGAAATGGATCAATGTCGAAGAACTCTGACAATCCACTCGTCCTCCATTCTTCAGATCATCCAGGTTTACAGATTGTATCTCATACTCTTGATGGAACTAATTACAACAGTTGGTCGATTGCGATGAAAATTAGCTTAGATGCGAAAAATAAGCTAGGCTTTGTTGATGGATCGTTAGTGAGGCCTTCTGAGGATGATTCTAGTTTCCGAATCTGGAGTAGATGCAATAGTATGGTGAAGTCCTGGATCCTTAATGTCGTGAACAAGGAGATCTATGATAGCATTCTTTATTATCAAGATGCGATGGAAATGTGGGATGATCTGTTTACTAGGTTCAAGGTTAGCAATCTACCGCGGAAATATCAAATTGAACAAGCT